AACCCTATAAACCCTAAACCCTATAAACCCTAAACAGGCTCAATCTTCTTCAGCCGAGGGAAGCAGGCAGGATGATTTGTCGTCGGCCTCCTGCCATGTCTCTCCATGTGCATGCACACAGAAAGTCTCTGCATGGCAGCAGATGCAGGCTGTCTATGCAGGAGCACTCCCCCACGAGGTCATCGCATACCAGAGAAGAAATGGAATGCACAACACTGTAAGCTCGCCCTGCCAGTTCCACGAATGCCCAGACAAGGGCACACTCCAAGCAACCGTTCCCTTCAAGCAGCACCGCATCGCCACGACATATCCGTTCCCCGGAGGGCAGCCTGACTTTTTCTGCCACATGAATCACTTGTGCCGAGGTCAGCTCCGGAATGATTTTGCGAAGTGCTGCCGCCTTCCTCCGAGAAGCTGGCTTCGGGTCCTGCAACTGCAGCATCGCTGCGAAACAATCAGCTCTTGCCAAGCAATATAGTTCTTGTCCAAGAACTTCTCGGAGAAGACCCTGCTCGTAAGCAGAAGTCTTCTTGATGTCCTCGGCGAATCTCTTGATAGTGCGATGCTTTCTTTCGTGAGTGTAGCACTGAACCATGAAACCCCACTTTTCCAGGTGCGAACCGAAGTGGAGAAGCCAATGGAACTTGGAATGCATGCGGTCCTGCCACTCAGCAGCATGCACTGCTTGCAAGAAATCGGAAACGTGCTTTCTCATCTGGCCGGGCGAAACCGCTCCCTCACTGCGAGCTCTCTGGCAGCATGCCACGAGTTTGTCCAGCTGCAAGAAACATTGGATCGCTTGCACTGCCTCAACATTTGCATTTGCCCTGGCGAGCTGCCTGAAGAAACAAGCCAATATTGGAGACAGTGTCAAGCCTTCGGAGGCCGTGCATTTAAAGGTCTCGGCTTCCTTGCATGCTTTTGCTCGGGACTGACCCAGCATCCCTTCGGCCTTGGCCGAGATGTTCCGGGGCAGGGTCCACTTGGCCACGTACTCGTCGGCGATTTCCCAGAGATTGGGAAACTGCTTCTGCAAAGCTTCCAAAACAAGCCAGGTCACTGTCTGGAAGACACCGGAGACCAGCAGGGTGTGCATGCTGTCGTGGCAATACTGTGAGACCGGCCGGACCAGCCATCGTTGATCCTCTTGTTGCAGCAGGGAACAACTATTATAAGTCCAGCCGGTGGCTTGCTGCCACGTGCTGAAATCTGCAGCATTCAGAAGCATCTTCTTCTCTGCCAGTTTAGCCATGGCCTCGTGGATGGATTGGTCGGTCGCAAGCGAAAGCTTACTTTCTCGGATCTCAGAGGAACCGACCACGGGGAGCCCGCTGCTGTGCAGGATATCACATCGTTGTGCTATTACATTCCTGCACAGCATGCACATGCGGGTGCCAGCATCCCCCTTGCAGCTCCATAGAGCTTTATGGGCACCACCGTCTTGAACGATCATTGACAAAACCACCCGGAAGAGGACGGGCGGACCTCCTGGTCGCTGCAACGATATGCACCCGTGCTCCAAATGGTTGGCCGGCCGCATGAATATGTCTCGCAGGATTTTCGAGATCCATTGAGAGACACCTGCTTCGGCCTTGGCCATCAGGCTGGATCGGAGCAGTCCTATGCATAGCCACGACTCCTCGTGCTGCAATGCATAGCTTCCAAGTTCTACGAACGAGGCATAGCAAGCCCAGATTTTTCTCTTCGTCTGGACTGCCAAAGGATTACCCGGCACGATCTCGTCCGTATAGAGGATCAGCCGCCATGCCGAGCTGGGGCTCGGAGGATTCTTGTCGATGCACGCCCAAAAATATTGGGCGAAGTTGCTGTCGGCATCCGAGATAGCAGCTTGCAGCAGAGCCCAAAAATCGACACTGGGTATCTGCAGCTCTGCACCATCTGTCTGCAAAAGTGACAGACGATTGAGGATCCTATTCTCTTTCAGGGGTTGCCAGGCAGCCTCGGCTATATGTTTTCTTTGTGTGAGTTCCGGGACACCCTCGTCCCGGAGAACTTTGCAAACTTCGGACAAAGCCGAGGCTGTGAGATGGGGCAATTTCCTTCTCAGAGCATTCACCTTCTGAAGCTTGGCTGGTCTTTCAGCAAAAGCATCGGTGCTGCTGGAGGCCATGGCCCTATATACTCACCAGGGCTGTGCCTGCAGCAGCAAGCAGCCACATACACGCCTCCGTGGAGGCTTCCACACGCCTCCGTGGAGGCTCCCACACGCCTCCGTGGAGGCTTCCACACGCCTCCGTGGAGGCTTCTCGCATCCTTGGATGCTGGGTCTCCATGGCAACAACAAACCAAGCAAGAGGACGGGTGACACAACAAATGGCTCCAGGAAGGCATGCCTGTCTGCGAACACAACTGCACCAAACCTTCTCTGTGCTCGACTCTGGGCATCTGTATGCATGCTGCACGACTGCTTGGGTCCGGCTTTCCGCTGCTGAGAGAACACAAACCGGCAGGGCCACGAAACCCACAAAATATGATATAGAAAAAACTATATCATATGAATACAAATAAAATCATATGATATGGTATATACTATATCATATGAGGCCAAACTATTGCATATGATATGGGAAAAACTATATCATATGACATCTGGCAGTTCAGACTTATATGATATAGTATATCCTATATCATATGGCCGAGAAAGCTGCCATATGATATAGAATATACTATATCATATGGTTTCATTCCAATATATATGATATAGAAAAAACTATATCATATTTTCTGTGTTTGGAGAAGGTTTCCTATCTTAAGGTTAAAAGAAAATTATTCTTTTAAAACAAACCCTAAACCCTAAACCCTAGAAGAGAAAAAGCGCGGAGACACTCTTTTTTTTCCACCACACGGCAGCCGGCACTCTGTTTTTTTCTGAAGACCCAGCCGGCACTCTGTTTTTTTCGGAAGACGGCAGGCGGCTGTGCCGAGCTAGTACCGCTGCCTCAGCTCGTGACAAGCTATCTGAAACAAGCTCGTCACGACCTTGCCGTAGCTCCCAGGGCCTCCTTCCGGATCCTCCGGGTCCTTCTTGTCCGGCATTGGGACGTGATCAACGTCCCGTACCGGCGACTCCTGTCGCTCTCGCTTGGCCTTAGCCTTGCTGCCCTTCGTCTTGGTTTCCTTTCCGGTCTTGCCAGCCTTAGCTGGCATTTTCCTGGGCAAAAGCTTCACCGGCTTTCGATCCTCTTTGTCATCCTCGGGATCAAGCAAGGAGATTGTCTCTCCTGCCCCCGGCTTTTTTCTCTTCTCCGTGCCCTTAGGCTGCTCAGGACGGCCCTTCTCAGCTTCGGCATGGGCCTTGGCCCCCGAGGGGCCGGAGCCGCCTCTCACATCACCATAGCCATAGCCATAGTGGGATCCCTCGCCCTTGTCGCCGGAATCCCGCCGCAGCTCCCATTTTGGGACTTCCGACTCCTCTTCGCTCTCCTCTTGCCTCCCGGGCTGCCAGTGCTCCTGGAACCTTCGCTTTGCTCGGGCTGCAGCAGCCTCTTTGGAAAGCCCTTGGGCTATGTATTTCCAAGTTCGGTGATATACCGACAATCGGTGCTGTCGGCGGGCGGCCGCATGCTCCTGGATCCACCTCCAGCAAATCTCGCACTTCTTGGACGGGCCCTTGGGCCCGTCCGAAGGCTTCTTGTCCTTCTTCTCTTCTGCTGCCTTCTCATCCGCCCCCTTCAGCTTATCATCCACATCCTTCTCATTTTTCTCTGCAGTCTCTTCTTGTTTTTCTTTTCATCCTTTTTCTTTTCCTTTTTCTCCTTCTTTCCCTTTTTTTTCTCTTTCTCCTTCTTTTCCTTTCTGGCCTGCTCTTCTTCTGCCCAGGACTGGAGAGCTGCCTGGGATGCCGCGACCCTGGCTGTTGCAAGCTTTTGCTCCAGCCTCTTCCTGCCGGCGGCACTTATCGGCCAATCGGGAGCGGTCGGCTCATCCAGAGAAGGGACTCTGGGCTTCGAGGCCGCAGCCTCCGAGGCCGCCTCCTTTGGCTTCGAGGCCGTAGCCTCCTCCGGCTCCTCCTCCGGATCCTTTTCTTTGTCCTCGGACTCAGTTGCCTCCTCGGAGGCCACAGTTTCCTCCTCAAAGTTTTCCTCCTCCTCTTTCTTCTTCTTCTCGTTCTCCTGGTCCTCGGACTCTTCACGAGATCTCGACCGTCGTCGAGGATCTCGTCGTTCTTTTCTATCCTCTGAGCTCGAGCTCCTCCTCCTTCTATCCTGGTCCCGCTGCTTGGGCATGGCCGACGACTTCGCCTGGCCAGGACAAAAAAAGGGTTTAGAGGATCGGGGAGGGTTTAGGGTTTAGGGAAGATCCCTTAAGCCAGACCCTAAAAACCTTAGACTCTTTTTAGCACATGTATATATATATATATATATACATATAGTATTTGGTGCATGCCGTGGCATGCACCCACGAGGAAACCGTGGTCTCCATATACTTCTCTCCCAAAGCAAAGCAAACCGTGGTCTGCTTGCTTTGCATGCTTGCCAGCAGATGCAAACAAACCTTGGTCTGCCTGCATTCTGCCGGCCAGCACGGTTGCCGAAAAGCAACCCCTGCATGCATCACTGACTAAGCAAACCGTAGTCTGCTAGCCAGCTCTGCAGGAGACCGTGGTCTCCTCTCACAGACAGATGGCAAACCGTGGTCCACCACAATGATAAGGAAACCGTAGTCTCCCGGCTTTGTCCAGGAAACCGCAGTCTCCCGGGCTGCCACTATATATATATATATATATATATATATATATATATTATATATATATCTCTATATCTGTATATATGTTTCGTTTGAAAGAAACTTAAAAGGATCCCTTGCCTGGCCTCGTAAAAAAGGCCTGCCCGCATCCAAGGGCTCCCTAGAGGAGCCCAAACAGCTGCAAACACCGGCACAAACTTCACAACCTGCACATGCGAGGCTACATGAGTCAAACAAGTGCATGCACATGAGACAACAAGGCTTTGCATGGTTTTCCTGAAGCAAACGAACCTTCAGTCCACTAGCACCCCAGGCTTCCTCCGTTTGGAGGGCTGCCCCTGGCTTTTTGCTGCCCTTTTGGCAGCCGCAGTCGCCTCAGCCTCCTGCAGCGGCAGGGGATCCAAGGGCGGGGCCTTGGCCCCGGCTTTTTTGACAAGCGAATACCTTCTGTCGTCGCCTGTCCGTTGAGCCTGGCGGCCTTGGCCGATTTTCAAGACTTTGTCCTTCGCAGCAGTTCCCTTAGGAAAGCTTTGCCGTGCTCTAGTCTGAAAAGACTCAGCAGTAAGCACGGCATTTTCTGTTGCTTCAAAGAACAGTGCCATATCATCCAAGTGGACTTTGGGCACATCCGTGACATGGCCCGCCTCCAGGACACGGATCTCCTTTTCCATCCAGGTAACCTTGAGCACATTCTTTTCTGCTCTTGCTTCCCTGGAAGCACGGCGGGACAAGCGAGTCTTCGCTGCTTTTCTCGGAGAGCTGCCTGTTACAGACACTAGAGCAGCCTCGCTGTCTTCCCCGCCGAAAAGGCCAGAGCTCTGTTCTTTCAGTTTCTCTGCTCTGGGACAACGATGACTTTGCCGGGTATTTTGGCAGTTTTATGCTATGCTGCTTAGAAAGCAGCTTGCACAAGCCCGGGCTCCATGGACGAAGTACCACAAACGGACCATGGTCCGTTGCTTCTAGCTCCTTGTCACCCACAGTCCAGCTGGCACCATCCAGCTTCAGGACATATATTCTTTCGATTACCAGCGGCATTGTACCTATATAGCCTTGAGCCGAACTTTATGGAAAGATCAACAACACGTGCCTGCAAACCATCCTTGAATTCACACTTGCAAAAGCGCCAAAAAGTTCCATTGCAGACATCAACCTTGGCTCCTTTTCCCGGAAAACTCAGCAAGCGAGAACTGTCGAGTAACTCAAGAAGCCTTTCGCTTTCGCGAGGCAGCGGATCCTTGATCCAGCTCTTGGGCCGAGGCCCTCAAACTTTCGGCAGGCTTCGGCCTGTACAGGATGCACTCCTTCAGCGAAGCAGTGTTCTTCAAAATGGGAATCTTCCAGCCCTTCTCGTTCAGAAGGACTGTCGCCAGATTCGGCTCTGAGCCGACCGGGATCTGCCAGAAGGCAGATAGCAAACTTCCGGCTGCAGCCGGGGGTGAAATATACAAGCTTGTGCCCGAGGCCGAATGCCAAACCTCCACACTGCCAGCTGCCGGCTTTAAGCCAACCTTTGAAATCTGATCCGTGAAGGGGAAGATCGTCAGCTTGCCTGTCTTGGCTTTGCCCTCCAACAGACAGCACGTGGGATTCTTCAAAAAGGTCAACTCCTCTTCACAGTGCGAGTACTTCAGGAAATACTCGCAGCAGAGCTCGAAGAACTCTCCTCGGAGTCTCTCTTGGCTGCAAGCCTCCGTATTATGGGGCAGTCGGTCCACAGAGTCAGACACCACTTCGGGTGCATCTCCGCTATACAGATCGAAGAATTTCTTGAGCTCGCTCAGAGGCACCTCGACCTTCTTGTCCCAGCTCACTGGGCAAGACAGCGAGAAAGAGCCGTGGCTCCGGCCGATTTTCTCCAGCTTCCAAGGCCAGATGTCCTGATACTTCTGCTTGCCTTTGTACAGGTTGCCCTCTGCGAAGCCTTGCAGCTTCATCAGGAAGGCCGGGTCCTGCATGTTCTCCAAGGTCGCAGGGGCCGCATCAGACTGCCCATCTTTTGTAGGAGCAGCCGGTGTTGCACCGGCACTCTTGCCACCCATCTCGTGTTCGTACAAAGTCAGCAAATTGGCCAAGGACACGTGCTCAAGGCCTTCTTGCCCCGACTTCTCTTTCTTGCACATGAAGAGGGTGCTGCGAACCATCAGGCGACCGAAGCACTCAATTGCCTTGGCACGTGCACTTGCCTCCGTCACATTCTGAGTGTGAGCCCAGGCACGAGAAAGAAGCTCCTCCCAATCCTTTACAGCATCTTCCATGCCTTTCGCACAGAGCCTGCTGACATCGCTCTTGTTCAGCAGCCGAGCCACACCGTCTACCACTTTTGTGGCTGTCAGGTTCGTCGCGATCATCGCAGCCCTCGCGAAAGCATGCGATCGCTCCTGCCCTGCAAACCGGAGGCCGGCGACCGTGGATATGAATTCCTCTCCCAATCTTTTGCTTGCCCCATATTTCAAGGAAAAGTCGTGCAAAAACTTCAGCAGAGGTGCTTCGGTTCCTCCTGCATAGAATCTGCAGAACAACCCGCAAGCGGCCACGGTCTGTGGCGAGGCATCCGGCACCGTGGCTGCTACATCAGCTTGCACAACATCCCAGCAACTTTGCTCGGGTCACCATCGCCATGGCGAGCTCCAGCTCGCCTGCCGTTCTTGCAACTCCTTGGGCTGCATTCATGACTTCCTGAACGAAGGAGGCCAGCGAGGGCAGTACTGCATCAACTTCCGCTGACAGCACCAGCCACTCCCATCCATTATCCACGGCCTGCCGAAAGTCCGTAGACAATCGCTGCAACGTGAGCTTGCCGTTGTCCGACACCGTCTCTTGGTCCGAGGGACATGCTGCAATGCAGGCACGGCAAAATGCCGTAAAGTGACTGCATGCTAACGACATGTATCGCTCATCGCCTCGCACCTCAGCTAGCAGCCCTCCATTCATATCCACTTGCCGCTTGTTGAAACTAAAGGCCTTTTGGCTCAGAGCTCTATCCGTGGATATTTCCATGCAAACACTTCGCTTCAGCTCCATGGAGCTGAAGCCTACAGATTGCACTTGGGCCCCTGTCTTGTGAACTTGGGCTCCATTCAATCCTAACCCTGAGCGATTCGACGGGTGCACCAGGACTTGACCCGGCCGCAGCACCTGCCTGTAGCACTTCCTGTTCTCCTGCAGGATAGTTTCGATCTCCGTCCATCTCTCCAATGCCGGAGCATCTTTCTTCAATGCCTGCTCCACGGCCGTAGCCCAGGCAGGCTTCATCTTTTCCAAGTTCTCTTGAAAAAAACGGCTGCATGGCAACAGGATATGCATTTCTTGTCCGCCCTGCCCCCCCCCTGTATACACGAAACACCCTTCAAACACAAGTCATTTACGTGCCTAACATAGTCATTTCCCTATATAAGAACTGTACTTCAAAAAGTTATGTTAACTTAGCTAAACTTTAGCTAAACCCCCTAACCTTTGTAAATTTTTAACATACTTACGCCACTTATGTAAACACTTAGCTAAGTCTCTTAACAGTTGTATTTGTTGATCACACTTATAAGTGATTTGCAATATAGATACAACCGGGTTGCAAGCTATTTAACAACATGCTTGCAATCTATATAAACACTTACAAAGCCACGGTTCTTCCCAGTAGCGGGCTGTGCGGCCGTAGCGGGGCCATCCGCTGGCCCTTTGCCCTTGGGCTGCGTAGCTTGGGCATCCTTGCCCTTTCCTCCCATAGCTGCCCAAGGCACGGATAGGGTGAGACGGCTAAGAAATACTAGCTACCACAAGGTAGCGAAGCCGAAGGCTATCCATGGGAGGAGGTTTAGCACAGTCACTGGCTCCTGCGCCTGGCTCCTTTGTAGCCCTGTTGCCTAGCGGGGTCAAAACCCGCACGTTTCGTAGCGCCTTCCACCGCTCCTTAGCTCGTTCCTGCAAGACGGACCTAGCGCAAGGACTGGCTCCTCTCCTAGCTCCTGTGTTCCCTGGGTGGCCAGAGGAGGGGTCGCCCGGCCCCGGTTTCCTAGCGCCTGCCTTCGCTCCTTGCTCCTCCTGCAAGACACGAGCGGAACACGAAAGCACAACACAAGCAACACAGCAAGTGACATGTAGCAAGAACGTGGTTCTCTCCACTCTCTTCTTTCTCCACCCCCCCCCCCACCCCACAAACCCTCCCTCTCCCCCCCCTCCCAAGCACACCCCTCAATATTTAGCGGCGTTTCGCAGAGGAGGGAGGTAAAGAGGGTTCCGACCTAGCAGCCTTTCTAGCCCTGGCGCGAGTCCGGCGGCTTAGCACGCCCTGCGCTCAAGGATGACTGCTAGCGGACCCTGTCGAGGGTTCTCCCGGGGCCTCGTCATCATCCGAGTTAGCAAGCGATCCTTCGCTAGCGTCTCCTTCAGAGATAGCCCCTTGGTTCGGCCAGCATAGCTTGCACACATGCGTGTACTCATGCGGCCCCGGAACCGAATCAAGGACCCTAGCGTTGCGGAAAGCACGACGCTTTCCCATCCAACATCCCGTAGCGCCCGCTTTGTGCAGGCGGAACATGGCGCCTGGGACCTCTACGATTACATAGCTGCCCTGGCTGCGGTCAGGAACCCTAGCCTGTTTCTTAGCAGGCCGTTCCACGACCTCTGCAGATGCCTCGGAGCTGCTCCCTGCCCCTATAGCGGTTCCTCGGGGACCTCTAGCTATTCCGCCTCGGTCGGGACTCCTAGCAGGCCTTCCATCCAGATCTTTCGCAGCCGTGCCGCCATATGGATAGCCTGGCTGTGGGTTAGCTTGGCCCTTTCTTCCAGCCAGGGCTCCAGATCCGCGGCAATTTCGCGCTCGTCGAGCGCTTCGTAGCGGTCGTCCCCTCTAGCTGTCTTAGCGAAGAGAGCTTGGAGCCGGGATACTCTACCCGCAATGGATCTAGCGTACACATCGGAACCCTCGGGTTTCCAACGTCCTAGCAGATCCTTATCCTGCGGCGGGATCTCTTTTAGCGCCAACCCCGTGGGTAGCACGGAGCGCCCACTGTGCTCCAATAGCCCTGGACTTCCCGGGGGTAGCCCATGATAGCCAGCAGCCCGGCTGTGGCTACCATAGCGTCTGCGTAGGTAGCGATCTTCCTCTCCAGCTGCCCTGCCCGGCCCAGTCGTGGCATGAGGTGGTCCGGGCGTAATTAGCGTGGGCTTTCAGGAGATCGAAGCCGGTCACCAGCCAGTTCTTAGCGACCAAGAAGGCGTGCTCCGACACCACGACCGGTAGCTCCTTGACCCTTCTGGTAGCGCCGGAAGTCTTCGTCTTCCGGAGGATGGTGGTGAGACGACCCTCCACCATCGTTAGCTCCGCCGGCAAGATAGCCTGGAGATCGGACCACCTTAGCGTGGCCCAAACCTTGACCAACTTCGCCCAGGCCCAGACCCGCCAGCCCACGGCCAGAGCGGCATTGACCACGACCAGCTCTAGCTGTACCAGCATGTAGACGGGGTAGCGCGGGGCCCTTTTAATCAAGGGGGCCCCCTCCGCTAGCTGCTCCACGATGCTGTCCTTAGCAGCCCAAACCAGGCGACAAAAAGTAGCCCGCGACTCGACTGGGAAGTCGGCCACCTTCTCCATCCAGGAGATAGCCTTGAGAATAGCCACATGGTTCGTCGCTCCTAGCAAGGAGGTAATCCACCAGGTCAGCGGCGGTGCCCGGAGGCGGCCTGAGCTTAGCGGCGTGGAGCCATTGGCGCCACTGCCTGTAGTAGCTCAGGTAGCGCTTCAAAGTGGAAGCCCGCGTCTTCCCCGGTAGCAACATAGCGGCCCGCTCAGGGTCCAGACTCCCGCGCAGCTTAGCGAGAACAGGGGCATGTATCTCTAGCAGCTCATCGCGGAGCTTCCTTGCCCAAACTTCCAGTAGCCGCTCCTCCCTAGCGGCACTGATCGTGCCCGGCTGTAGCACCTTCCGGTTCCGCTCCCCAGGGAGAGGTCTTAGCGGCACCGTGGGCTGGTGCGTAGCTTCCTCGGCTCCGTCTCTCGGAGCCGGTAGCGGTGGCATTGGGGGCCCTCCATGATATCATCCTGGAAGTAGCCGTGCACCCTTTGGTAGAGCGTAGCCTCCTGCCGAGCTTCCTGTAGCCAGCAGTAAACTCCATCCATAGCCACGGCTGGTAAGGGATGCCAAGCTCTCGTGCTAGCTGCTTGGCGACGTCCTCCGCGTCGTCCAGGTCCACTACTGCTAGCTCTAGCACCCCGAACCCCTGGCTGACGAGGTGACGGTAGGCCCGGTCTAGCGTGCGCCTACGCTCCTGTTGGACCGTATAGCCTGCGCATCTAGCTCTGCCTCCACCCCAGCCTTCGAAGAGCACATCAGCCTCCTCGGGCTGGGGTTCACTAGCTGGGGTCTGCGGGACCCACGAGGGTACCTCCCCGGACAGAGCCCCCGCGGTATCGTCCCCCCTAGCAACGTGGGAACCTCAGTTGGACACGAAGAACTTAGCGGGGGCGGGGAATCCCCAACCACAGTAGCGCAGTCGACGGCTGTAGCGGCTGCGCCATCTGGCGTGGTCGGCGCCAGGGTAGCGTCGCTGTCCGACATGGCAGCGCACCCAAAGCAGGGCTAATTAGCCCTGTTCCCCTTCCTACCCCCACTCGAAATTTGCCCCGCAATAGCAGGGGGCCTTTCAGCACAATGGCCACGGATAGCTCACGTTCCACCGGCCATGTGCAGTCACTCTAGCAAACAGACTGGCTTCGTTCTGTTTAGCTTCAGAGGAAAACCCCTTCGACGTTTTCTAGCGAAACACCTTCGATGTTTCACACAGGGATACTAGCGCTACGGGCGTAGCCCTAGGTTTGCCCCGCGCACCCTTCCTTACACATGCAGCGAAGTACAAAATACGTGGCAGGCGCAGTACTTTCGAGGGTTGGAGGGTTCTGATGACGGGAGACCATTTCCGTGTAAAATTTAAAATTTTACGCGCTAATTCGTGTTTGCTGCGACACCCCAAACCTTATAATACGTGGCCAGCGCAGGACTTTTGAGACTTCGAGGCAAGTTGCAAGGCTCAAGACGCGCGGCCTTTTTTTGGCTGTGTTAACGCCGTCGAGCACAAGGGCAAGTGCAAAATACGTGGCAGGAACAGTACTTTCGAGGGTTCGAAGAGTCTGGCGGCAGAAGTTGATATCAGGAAAAAATAGCATTTATGTCGCGCACATTGGTCTCTGCTGCGGCAGCGGGAAGCTCATAATACGTGGCCAGCGCAATACTTTCGAGACCTCGAGGCAGGCAGCATTGCTCGGGCCGCAGGGTCGCTTTTTGTCCACGTACTTTTTGGCACAGCGCAATGTGGGTAAACCCTAAAAGGAATGGGTGGGTGGGAAACCCTCAAACCCTAAAAGGAGTGGGTGGGTGGGAAACCCTCAAACCCTAAAAGGAGTGGATGGCTCGCAAACCCTCAAACCCTAAAGGAATGGGTGGGTGGGAAACCCTCAAACCCTAAAAGGAGTGGTTGGATGGGAAACCCTCAAACCCTAAAAAGAGTGGGTGGGTGGGAAACCCTCAAACCCTAAAAGGAGTGATTGGATGGGAACCCCTCAAACCCTCTAAAAGGAGTGGTTGGATGGGAAACCCTCAAACCCTAAAAGGAGTGGATGGCTCGCAAACCCTCAAAGCCTAAAAAGAGTGGGTGGGTGGAAAACCCTCAAACCCTCAAAGCAGTGGTTGGATGGGAAACCCTCCAACCCTAAAAGGAGTGGGTGGGTGGAAACCCTCAAACCCTAAAAGGAGTGATTGGATGGGAAACCCTCAAACCCTAAAAGGAGTGGATGGCTCGCAAACCCTCAAACCCTAAAAGGAATGGGTGGGTGGGAAACCCTCAAACCATAAAAGGAGTGGTTGGATGGGAAACCCTGAAACCCTAAAAGGAGTGGGTGGGTGGGAAACCCTCAAACCCTAAAAGGAGTGATTGGATGGGAAACCCTCAAACCCTAAATGGAGTGGATGGGTGGGAAATCCTCAAACCCTAAAAGGAATGGGTGGGTGGAAACCCTCAAACCCTAAAAGGATGAAACCCTAAAAGGAGTGGTTGCAAGGGAAACCCTGAAACCCTAAATGGAGTGGTTGCGCGGGAAACCCTCCAACCCTAAAAGGATCGGAGTGGATGGCTCGCAAATCCTCAAACCCTAAAAGGAGTGGGTGGGTGGGAAACCCTGAAACCCTAAAAGCAGTGGTTGGATGGGAAACCCTCAAACCCTAAAAGGAGTGGGTGGGTGGGAAACCCTCAAACCCTAAAAGGAG